AAAACTGCGGACCCACTATGAAAAAGAAATTGATATTCTTAAAGTTACATTTTATTTAAGCTTGAACATTACACATGTAGCTCAGTTTAAAGTTCATTCATTACAACAAGAAATCATTATTCAGTAAAATTTTATAACGTGCGTTATACTCTAAAGTAAATACCCTAGAATAATAGACAGAAAACTCCTGTATGAGGAAGCACTTGGTGAAAGTGGAAAGGAAAAACTCCCTTTTAACAGGAAGAAACGTCTGGCAGAATGAGGCTCAGGGAGGGTGGCCAGTTGGGGATGAGGGAAGGAAGACAGGATAACAGACACACTGTGGAGGAGAGCCAAAGATTCATAATAACTAATGATTAAATGCAGAGTGGTGTATAAACACATAGTGAGTAGAAAAAGCGAGTGAAGCTTGATGAAGAATATTTCATTAGCCTCCATAAAAAGTATAATGGAGAAAGGAATATGGGAACAAAATTAAAACAATAAAAATAAAAGGCAAGTTTATTTATTTAATATATGCTGCTTTACTCAAACTGAATGTGCTTAAGACTAAACATAAAAGCATAAACGCCTGTGTAGGTTTACAATGCCTTAAGGCAGAGATTCAGGGGGAATTTTGCAGAAATAAATAAAAGAAAGTCCCAGCAAAACTTCACGTGAGTGGTTTCTACAATGAAAACAGATACCTGTCTGATATTTAATGAAGTAGAAATGTTATGGGGGGGGAAAAATCATTTTCTATCTTTTGACGGTGTTTCTATCACTTTCTTTATTTGGTGTTGTAGGGCAGATTGTAGGCAACGTGTTTGTTGGCTAGAAGGTGTAAAAGTGCAGATGATTCAGATCATTGTTAAGGATAAATCAAATGAGAGCGTCTTTGCAGCTTTCACATTTTCCAAAGCTGTCCGGTGGACCCTTGGTGGCCAGTTCTGCCCTTTAGGCTGCGTGCTTGACACCCCTGATAAACAGCCATGTGATGCAGGATAGCAGAGAATTTTTGTGTTTTAAATTGCAGCAGTGCACTTTTCTAATTTCTCTATATAAATCCTCCTTAACGTGCACATACAATGGGTAGAGAGCTCCGGCAGGGACACAGAGGTGCACAGCTGCAGAGCCAGCAGGTGTGTTTCCCGGTGATATCATTCATTCTGCCCTACTTTTTCCTTGTATAGAAACACTTAATCACCCACTCTTTGAATTGAAATAGTATGGCAATCTCACGTGAAGATATACATGAGCCTGTGTAGCAGTGCCTTCCTCACTACACTTACAATAAAACAGCACAAGAAATTAATTACATCATTTCTTTTTATTTCTAATTAATGTAAACACAGGTTTTTATATCATACCAAGACATATTCATTCAAATAATACAAATCGCATTATTACCGCTCCTATACAGATATAGGGCTGAGTAAATTTAAAGGTTTTGCTTTTTTTACTGAAGAACACAGTAGAATAGACCTACCCTACCATTCACTGGTCATCTATAATTTATGTTATTTATGTTTTTCTTTATCTTCTGCTTACTGGAAAGATATTTCAGCTAATATAAAAGTAAAGAAAGCACACTGAAAAAGCTAACATCCATTTCCAAAGTAGCCTAAGTGTAAGGTCCTTATAAAAATCTAGAAGAAAAACATACACTTACTAACCAACAAATACAAGGATCTAGAGTATCTACAACACAAAGGCACTTTTTTTTAGGTTTCTAGGATATAACTCCGATATGTACAGAATGCTCGAGACAAAATTGCAAATTTCCTCCTAAAACTATTTACAGCTACACCATAATATGTCCAATCATCAGTTAGTTTATCATAAGTTTAGAGGTGGGGAGGTTGTCAGCTGTTTGACTTGTGTTTTTGTGGGGGCAACAGAGGTGTCACTGGGCAGCTGCTGGGGCAGAGATATTCCTAACTGCCTTTGCGCCCTTCTGCTGTCTGCAGAAATGTGCCCCAGCCGAGGGTCCGAGTCAATCTCGTACCGGTAGTGATAGCCCTCCAGGACATCCCGACAAGCGTCTCTCATTTCAATGATCCACTTCTTCATACCTTTGCGATTAAGGTAGAGCACAAAGAGAAAAACCATGCCAACAAGCCCCAGAACCAGTCCCAGGAAGACATAAGAGGTCTGCAGGGTGAGATCAGCGACCTCTGCCAGGACTGGAACAACACACCCGATATCCTGGATGCTGAGCCCTCTTAGGCGGGCGTCAGTTAATGCGCCAGGTGAGGCACATCTCACAGCATCCACATCAACCTTAGCTCTCGATTTATTCAGCCACGCGACAAACTCATTGATCTCGCAGGAGCAGGTGTAGGGGTTGTTACCAAGCAGGATTCTGATGTCCCCAAGCTTGTCCAACTCCACCAGAGCATCGGTTCCGAATGTGCTGAAGGTGTTGTGCGTCAGGTCAAGCATCTCCAGGTAATTCATGCCAGAGAAGGTCCCACTGTAGACTGCCACCAAAGAGTTGTTGGTGAGGAAAAGCTGCTGCAGATTGGGAAGGTGAGAGAACATGCCCGGGGGAAGCAGCGCAAGCTTGTTCCCCGAGAGGTCGAGGCGGAGGAGCCCCGCGAGGCCCCCCCAGCGCAGAGCTGTGGTCAGGTCTGTAAGGGCAGTAAAGTTGTAGAGTGACTGGCTCAGGTTGAGCTCCTGAAGGGGACTACCAGGTATGCTGAGAGCCTCTGGATGGATGAGTGCCAGCTGGTTTCCACTGAGGTCCAGGAAGCGCAGGTTGACCAGGGAGGAGAAGGTGTGGGACGCCATCTCTGTTAACCTGAGGAGACGACTAACACTTTAACATCAGGTTTTAGACATCTGATTATATCCTCCTGCTTGGAAACAAGAAATGCTGGGAAACCTCACTGTACTATCAAGGTTAAAAAAAGAAAAACTCACAGAAACAGATCTTTATTTATTTATTTATTGTGTAAACATAAAGAAATAAACCATTCAAATACGGCTTAATACATACATGGTTGAAACTGAAAAAGAAACAAATAAAAAACACTGACATTCTCACCTGTTATTGGTTAAAATGATGTTAGTGACGTTCTCCAGCTCCGTAAACGAACTGGGTCCAATTTGGTGTATATTATTCCCTGTGATAATGACGGTCCTGGCATATCCTGGAATATTTTCTGGTGCTGTGAGCAGATCTTTAGAAACACATTTTACCGTGCGGATCACAGCGAAACACTCACAGCCAAAAGGACACTCCAAGCAGCGGCACAGAGCGCAGAAAAGAATCCCCAAAAACACAAAAACAGCAGAAAAACACATCTCTAAATAACAGCTGAAAAAGTTTAAACTACAGATGTATATTCATAAATCAAACTTTAGCTGTTATCCTTTGTTCTCTAAAAGTGATCGGACACTGCAGAGGTGGCAAAGACTGCTCGCTCAGTCGTCGTCTGCTGCACTGTGGGAATAAAGGTTCCCGTAAAGTGATGGTAGTTCATATCACACAGAGTCTGCTGGATGAAAACGCAGTCCCCTTAAAGGTACAGAGGACGACCCACAGCCGGTCACCTTTATCCCAGTCTGCCAGGGGAGACAACAAAAGAGCTCTGCACACAGCAAATCCAAAATGCAGGTACAAAAATGGAAATATTAAACGGTTACAGACATACAATAATAAATAATACTTATTCAAGTACCAAAAACATCCAATAAAATAACATAATGCATAAACAAGTGATCAAATATTGCTCATATAACTTGGCAGGATCAAGTGTGAGGATGCACAAAAGGAAATCATACAAATCTTACTGCAAAAAAGCCAAAACAAACAAAAAAGAAGTCACTTAACATAGAAGCGTCTTATGAAGGAGGAAAATGTATCCGAGGGAGCGCAATACCCTAATTATTAACATGCGGGTTTCCATCATTCTATCTTTGGTCTAGCTGCTCATATTTCTAAGACAAATAATTGATGAATACTTCCAGCTTGAAGATTTTGCAATCCGTTTTCTATGGATTCGTCACTGAAATATATATTAGCCCGCCTGGAAACACATTCATCACTGCCGTTCATCAAAAATACATCTCTGCAACTGAAATGCATTACTCTACTGGGGTCTAATCTGGACGTCGTCTCCTTCATGATAATATTAACAAGGGGAAATAAAGCAAAAACACAAATGCAGACACTGTAGCTTGCCTTGCTAGCATAATAACCAATGAGAAATAATCAAAATATCAATAACTGAAGGACAAATTGTTCATTTCAACTGCCCCCCCCCCAAAAAAAACAAAACACTTAGCTTTGCCCTTTAATACTCTTAGAACATGCATCACAACAGATGAAGAGGCAGTCACTCAGTTTGTGCACAAACAAACGTTCCATCAGAACGCACCACTCACATCGATGACTGTGTATAAAGTATAACCAAAAAGCCTGAGGCAGCTTGTTCTACTGCTCGCCGCACTACTGTAGGTTAAACGTGAGGATGAAGGTGGCGAGGACTCCGCTGAGCATGACGAAGGGCAGCCAGGTCTTGAGGAAAGCAGCCCAGCTGGAGGATGGAAAAACACAGTAATTAGAGTACTTCTCAACACCTGGATGTGACAAGGACGTGAGGTGTGCCGGAGTGTCACATGGTGCAATCTAACATAGTGTCTACAGCCCCAGCTTGTGTCCTACTGTCCCCGTCCACCCAGCCGGTGTGCGGGGAGCCCCAGCGGAGGACTGACCTCCAGTTGTTACACAGAGGGGAAGCGCTGCCGTCTGTGATTAATTGCGCGACTCCCCTTCTGTTTAAAAGACTCCTGTGCCACAGGATCGTACGAGCAGAGGCAGCACAAGCTGTGACGCCAGCAATCTCTATGTGGGTCAGCAGAGAATAATGAGGGAGGATCTCTGAGCCATATGTCTCTTGATGCTTTCCAGCATCCAGCAGCGGAGCTATTTAACAGACTGTTCAGACTGTGGTGATGAAGATGCTTCAGGTGTGCTGCACAGTAATGTTCTCCTTCAGTTAAACTGTAATCCTAGCACAGCTACTCGTATCACCCTTTGTAGCACCTATGTCTGAAAGAGTGAAACCTGCCATGATAGAGGGTTTAGTACACTCACAGGACACTTTATTAGGCACACCTTGGTAGTATTGGGTTGAAACCCCTTTTGCCTTCAGAGCCGCCTTAATTCGTCACAGCAAAGATTCAACAAGGTGCTGGAAACATTCCTCAGATATTTTGGTCCATGTTGATGTGACTGCACAGCTGCTGCAGATCTGTAAGCTGCACACCCGTGGTGTGACACTCCAGTTCCGCCACATCCCAAAGGTGCTCTACTGGATTAAGATCTGGTGATTGTGGAGGTCTTTTGAGCACAGTGGACTCATTGTCATGCTTAAGAAACTGGTTTGACGTGATTCTAGCTTTTAGACATGGCATGTTACCCTGCTAGTAGCAGAGGGGCATACTGTGGTCCTAATAGGAGCAACAATATTCAGGTAGGCTGTGGTGTAGAAATGATGCTCAGCTGGTACTAAGAGGCAGCAGCCTGAACACTGATACCAGGCACGCTTTCATGTTGTTTACCCCAAATTCTGACCTCACTATCCAATCTCACAGTAGAAACTGAGACTCATCAGACCAGGCAACATTTTTCCAATCTTCCATTGTCCAAATTTGGTGAGCTCGTGTGAATTGGAGCATCTGTTTCCTGTTTTTAGCTGGTAGGAGTGGGACACAGTGTGATCTTCTGCTTCTTGTAGCCCATCTGCTTCATGATTTGTCATGTTGTGCATTCAGAGATGCTCTTTTGCAGACTTTGGCTGTCATGAGTTACAACGAAGGTATGTTGCCTTTATATAAACTCAAAGCGGTCCAGCCATTGTCCTCTGACCTCTGGCTTCAAAGAACATGCCTCTTACTGGGTAGTTTCTCTTTGCTAGATTATTCTCTGTAAACGCTGTAAAGAGATGACTGTGTAGATCAGCAGTTTCTGAAATACTTAGAAGCAGCCTGTCCAGCACTAAGAACTGCACCACATTCACTTAAGTCACCTGTTTTTCCTGTCCTGAAGTATTGTTTGAACTTCAGCAGCTTGTTTTGAACAGGTGTACCTACCAAAGTAGTTGGTGAATGCATTCTACACAGTCGTAACTGACTAAATAAACTTCACAACCTAAACCAATTGGCTCAAACAAAACCAGTATGACTTGAACTTAAATTTTCCTGTTTACAATAGAGGATTTATTGCAGATAAGTACCGGTGGGGCTACTACATGTCAAGTGGTAGAGTGGGTAGGCAAAGAGCTTGTGTTAAAAGGTTTAAGTGCCCTTGACTCACACATTTGAAAGCCAGAATTGCTCCTGATGTACAAAACCAGGGAGAAAAACCAAACTGAAAGATTTGCCCAGTGAATGTGAAGCATAGCTCGAGGTATAAACACTAGCAAATTAATCATTATTTTATACAACCCGTTTCCAGAAAAGATGCGACATTGTGTACAATATAAATAAAACTTACAATATAAATAGCTCGTGCTCAATTTGATTCTAACTAGATGTTTCAAAAGAGGTGGGATAGGGGTATGATTCCCTCCGTGTTGCCTCATTTCTTCTTTTAGCAACACTGTGTAAGGGTTTGGGAGCTGAGGAGATCAGCTGATAACTTTTGAAAGTTTTATAGAGGATTTCACCTGTGCAACAGTTAAGGGCCCTAAAAATACACTAAATATTGTCCGCAGGGTGGCATGTTTGGACTGCAGGCAGACGAGTTTCGCAGCTGAGTTCTTTTACTGCGAAGCGATGCTGTTGCAGCATGTGCAGAGTGTCTTCTGTATTGCACAATGTTACTAAAAAACATAACCTGTATAAATCTTTCAGCATTAATAATAGCTTGACAAATGTGAAAGTTAACCAAGCCAAAAGATCACGCCCGTTCATTTTTGGTTTCCAGGTTTCCTTGGATGACTCTAAATGGTAGCATGTGGTATTAGTGGCGGGAGGGCGGGGCAGTGTTTAGCACTGTTGCTCCACCCACCAACAGGGGCCTTACTTTGTAGAGTTCACATGTTCTCTCTGGGTACTCAGACTCCCTCCCACAGTCCGAAGACATGCATGTTGGGTTAGGCTGTAGCAGGAATGAGAGTGTGAAGAGTGATCTGTCTCTAGCCGCTCTTATCATTCATACATGTGTTTTATTCCTGCAGTGCTGGAATAAGTGGCCAAAATATTTACCTTACGTGTTTCCCGTGAGTGAGAGACAGCACACACAGGTTCACCATGTTCCAGGATGTGCTGTTGTCGTAGCGCATCAGGTTGAGGGCCATGGCAACGTGGGAATGGCAGTTATCAAAGCACAGATTGTGCTTCAACAAAAAGTAAATAAATAAGTATTTATTATTAAATCACTAATGTGCAAGGAGGGTCACTAGTGTCAAAATGAATTAATTAAATACATCATTATATAATTAATTAATGAAAACTATAAGTAAATATTATTACATATTTAAAAATATATTTTAATTGTAAGTAATTAATCAAACACTTAATTCATTTTGGCACTGAAGGCCTTCCATAAACACAATCCAGAAATGTTTTAATTAATTCATAAGAGAATGCTAAATACAACAATCTTACCGGCCTGCATTTGTACTCCTCTGATGCATCGTGCACAGCTTTGTCCCATGTAGCTGCACCATTACCACACACTTTATCCACATCAAGCTTCCAATACCTGAAGTATTATTTTAAAAGAAAACAGTGAGTTACCTTTAATGCGTTATCTCTGCTCCCCCCCTACTTGTTAAAAGACAATAATATCATCAATAAACTTACTTTGTGGGTCTACCAAACCCCATGTTATCCTCCTGCAAAGAGCGGAAATCATGCATGTGAATTAGTGCTGTACGATCATGCAAATTTTGCATGATCCAATACCAAGTAAATACAGGGCCAGTATTGACAACACCAACACCGATACTGATACTTTAAACTTATAAAGGTAGAAAAAGACTAAATCTGAACACAGTTTATAACACAGTAGTACTGATCCAATACCAGTACCATATTCAAATTGCTTCCCACCACTAATGCGAATCTATCCTTGAGACTCCCATTGAGAAGGTCTAGCACTTTAACATCAGTCTCTATGCGGTGATGTGATAAACTCGATGCAAAAGCAGTGCTCACCGAGACAAAATATGACCCTGCGAAATCTCGTATGACTCCAGCAGAAGTGCATATGCCCATGTGACCGATGAAGGGGAGCACCCACCTGCAGGACGCACGCAAATAACACACGAGGCAATTACTGTACGTCTGAATGTCCAGCAAAACAGCTAACGCAATACCATTAAAAGGAAACAGTATTAGCGGATAAGATAAACATAGCTTCGTTTCATCTGCTGCCACAGCACAGGAGCATCAATACTGCAGTAGCCTCTTACGTTAAAATGGGAATGGGTGTCCAGACAATGCAGAAAGGGTAGCGGCTGCTTTTTCTGTCGTTTTTTGGGAAATCACCGTGGTAGCTCATCATTACGTCGGTATCGTTCGCCTCCGCCATCACAGCCTGGAGTGACAGAAGGAGATGAACGGCAGTGACGCACAGCAGCGGAGGTACGCAGCCACCTCCTCCAACCGTCGGTCCGTAAACGCAGCACGGGCCATCTGTTCGTCGATTAAGGCCTTTACGGTCAGCGAGGAGGGGTTTAATGTTAGCTGCAGCGCCCTAGCACTTTACTTCTATAACAAATCTAAAAAATAATTATTTTTTTGTCGTTTTCTTGTATTGCGATAGTCTCTAAATACATGCATAATGGTCTCATTTCACTGTAAAACTGACTGCTTTGTGGTTCTGCGATTAATTCACCACATCAATGAAACATCTGCAAAATACTTGCTTTTCCAGCCCAGCGTTGTTGCTACAGAGTTACCTGCAGTAACTTCTCCCACAGATGGGTCACCTCATTACTGCGAAGCATACGGGGGCATGAGATGCTCACTTAACTTGCTTGTGATGTACCGTGCTCGCATTTGTTGCTCGACAGTCAGCAAAAAGTGCGGACACTGACGAATGGGGATCCTCCTAACCTAGATAAAACTAAGTGCTACTGTACGCGTTGTGTAACCGCCGAGCTAAAAAGGGCAAACAGATGAAACAAACAATGAATCAAAAGGATACTGAGGTGGTGTTTAATAATTTTTATTCTTTGTTCTGTTTGCCACAAAGGTCTTACAGGATTCCTCAAAGAAAACAGAGCATCTCAAATTAATGAACAAATGAAAACGAATGGAAGCCTTAGTGATGCATGTAGCTGAGGACTCCATTCATGAACATTTACCCTATCTAAGGGTAAAGAAAACCCAGCGAGCACTGGATGGCTTGTGGCTGTGCTCTTTTATTGCCCTGCATCTATGCTCAGAGAAGCCTCATGCAAGCAGGACTGAACACCTGGCTGCAGCAGAGGACTAATGCTAGAGCCACGCAGCTAGTAGGCAGGAACCCTAACGCTGCCGCCTCCCCCCCAAAAATGACATTGACACTTCATCTCAAATGATGTGTAATCAACAGGACTAGAAGAAAAAAAAAAAACTGTATTAGAAAGCTGCTTTCTTTGACCTGTCAATAATCTATTGTAAGAAAAACCTCTCAACTAAAAGGAGCCAAAGTTATGTTTCAATGAAACAAAGAAGTCTAACATTAATCCTTGGCTGTTTACGTGACAGATGGCAACCTTTGGCAGAAGAACCCCTTGTTTTTTTTCTTCTTCCTCCTGACAGTTGTAAACTAAAAAAGCATATAAATACATTTCATTAGAGCAACTCTGGCAGCGTTCACAACTTAAAGAGCGAGTTAATTCTAGCCTTCCAGTGGCCAAAACTCCAACGGAAAATAGGATTGAGGCTAACTTAAATAACTTGGGTGTGCAGCCTTTCCGAGATGAGTGGGTACTGTGACGCTTTGCTCCGTCTGCCGAGCAGACAGGAGTTGTAACAAATACACCGTTTTCGGGTCAGAGATCTTATTCTGACCGCGCGGCCACACGCCGACCTGAAAATAGGTCACCAGATACGCGCCTCTCCGACATAAACCTGAGGAGCGATGCGTGCTGAACTCCTCCTTCTTTGTGAGAAAGTGGGGGAGTGAAGTTTGAAGGTGCTCTCCTCAAAGTCATCCCACTGCCACCGCAGGGTGGAGGGAGGGACGGGCTGAGGTGTTGTAGGTGCTTCGAAGGGGTGGAAGGGTGCTGTCGCAACCCTCCATGAATTCCTCTCCCCCCAAAAGTGGTCTCCACCAGTCCTCTCACAGGACAGGGGAGGGTGATGCATAGTGCAGAGATGTGACACGACATTCACTCAATGTTCTGTCAGACGGGGCTGGGGAGGAGGGCGAGGGGATTTCAGATTCAAACAGGAGCTAGTAGAGTGCTTTGCTTCCTAAAATCCATTCTGCAGAACAGATGACTATTTGCTTAGCTGGGCCTGCACTGTACTTGTCCCTCTGAGCTGTCTTCATCGTCTGAACCATCTGGACCGACACCGCGCAGGCCTGTGATGCGATAGCCCATGTTAAGCAGCATGACCTCCAGCGGATCCGCGTTCATGCGCCGCTGATTAGCCTGAGCAGCTCCCTCCATGTCTTCCACCACACGCCCGTTTTCGCTGTCTGTCTGCGGTATTTAAAAAGAAAAAAACAAAAGAAGTGATCAAATATAATTCCAACAGCATGACACATCTTTTTAATGAATGGCATCTCCTTAACACGCTCCCAAAGCATGTCAAGACCAAGCCTGCCAAGTCTGCGCATAGAGGAGTTTCCTCTGTTTACCTCTGGCCTGGGGTTCCATAACCGAACGACAGGGTCGATACCGCTAGTAGCCAGGAAGCAGTAGCTGGGGTGAGGCTGTAGGCAGTTGACTATGGACTCATCCCCCTGCAGGATCCTCACAAGATTGGTTGTTTCTTTTTCCCAGATAAAGAAAGAGCCATCGTCTGAGCCGCTTACAATATACTGGCCTTTGCTGTGGAGAAAAAGAATCCATTCAGACCTGCCTGATGAGCCATGTTCCTGGGACACAAACCTTTTACGGGGAATTTAAATATTTACTCGGAAAATTGTGCAATCATTTTACATTGAACTTCTTTCATAGAATGTCAACTTCACTGCGCAGATGTGTACAGTACTGAGAACAGCTGAGGTGAAGGTTAAGCAACAGCAGCGTGCCATTTTCTACCGTCACTCAGCATACAGTACCTCCTTTGGCCCATGGTATCAAAAACCAGTCTCGTTAAGCTGTTGGAACTGCAATCACTAATCAAACACATCATAAAGATTTGTGTTTATTTAAAGGTAAACTAAATGAGCCACAGCGTGAGTTGGTGTTGATTAGAATATATTCTGACTGTTATAACGTCATGGGAAGCAGACGATTTAGTCACACTTTTGAACAGCAAAAACAAACAACTGCTTCATAGGCCAACATCTAAAAGTACGACCGACTCTAAAGAAACTAAACAACTTGTTTAGATTGAGGTACTATTGATTGTGTAAAACTAATAGAACAAAATTATGTTAAAATAAAAAAGGCCAAATAGTAATCAAACAAAGAAGCTGTTAATCAGCCCCCAAAAGCTGCTCACACATGCTAAAAATATGGCTGAGATTCCACAGCTTTGTAATAAAGAACACTTTACTCCTGTGCAGCTACTTTCAAAGCTGTTTGAGCATTTTGCTGCAAAAGAGGTTTGACTAGTTACTGAGTGCAACAGTGTTAATGTGTAAAGGCTCGGCTTTATTTATAATCGCTTGAGCACAGTGTGTCATTTAGATAAAGATCATGTTACATTTCAAAGCTCACGACTGCCCCCTAGTGATGACACAGCAGCCTGGCAACGAGATTAACCCACCTTCCAAAAAAGTTGGCTTCTTTGATGTCAGTGGTGGTGTTACAGTGACCGCAGTATCTGTGTTTGTAGTCAAAGCTGCGCTCTCTCAGCTCCAGCTCATCTTCAGGAATGGACTCTTTCCGACTGAACGAGTGGAATCGGATGGAGCTGTTGGCCTTTTTGTCTTCTGCAGTTATAGAAAAAACTTTTTTTTTTTTACTGTAATTCACACAGATTTTAAAACTAAAATATACACAAAGAAACGACATGTGTACTACAAAGCAGGTTTTTTTAGTGAGCATACAATCATTGTAAATAATGGCAATTATCCAATGAAGTGTGATATAAATGTTTTTTTCTAGATCTGTGTAAATTCTCTGAGAGTTACTGAAAATTAGCCAAGAGCTATTTCTTTCTTTCCCACCTGATTCTGACTTGGAGTAAAGAGCAGCCTTGATGTCTTTATCTAAGGCATCACAGGCACTGCTGTGCGCCTGCTCTGGAAACTTCCCTTTGAAATCGTCCAGACACTCCAGAGCCTCAGCCACATATTTTAGCTCAAACAGACACCGTGCCAGCCTGAAATGTGCTTTCAGATGACCGGGGTTTAGACTCAGAGCCTTCAGACAGTCCCTGAGGGCATCATAATGGTCTCCATCCCTAAGAATCACATAGAAAAACATAAAGACTCAGGGTTTCCAAAGGTTTTGGAATTAAAAAAAGCATCATTTGCATCATTCCTCTGCACTAAAGCAATGCCGCGTACCACTTGCGTTTCATATAGGCCGCAGCTCTGTTCCCGTACAACATGGCGTTGCTGCTCGCCTGATGAATGCCTAAACTGTACAGCTGGATGGCCTGTGTCCACTGCTGCCGTGCAAAAGCATCATTAGCTTGTTGTTTTATCTTCTCCAGGTGAGGAGGGAGGTCATTAGAACTGAAAGACAAAAGGGAAAAGCAGATATTTTGACATAAATTCAAATGTATAACCTCAGTCAATAGACGTGTAGTGGAAAGAGCCGACGTTTACCTAGACTGCATTTTGCTCCCAGTAAAGCGAATGTGGCCAGCTGGCAGGTGAATTCCATTGGAGACGCCGTTTGTCGTCTTTCCATTCTGCACATCTCCTGGAAAGCGAGAGATTCAATAATCGGCATTCTTCACGTACTTTGGAGTTAGTGTGAAACTGTTTATTATCTACCTGTTGACGATTGGCATTTCTTTGGAAGCAAGAATGTATATGGCCTCTGTTTGAACGTCAAGTCAAACAGATACACCTGCAAGAACCATAAAGAGATAGTAAAAGGATCCCATAAGAATGCCTCTGCGATTCTCACATGGTTCCCTCTCTGTTTGGTGATGCATTACCTGTTCCCCGCCCATGTTAACAAGCAGCTCGGTGCCATCAGGACTGAAAGTAACATAGGTGGCAACCAGGACCCTCAGGCGGTTATTGTAGTCAGGGAGTTTCACCGGCAGGTGACCTGAAACATTCAGTCAGATGGTAATGGTATTAAACCACAGTCCAGAATATAAATGCACCCATTAAAAGAATTTGACTCCAGACAATTTATCTGTATACACACCTGCAACATAATACTGCCCAGCTCCATCTGGGATGGGCTTCTGCCTTTCACAGAATGTGTGCACAGCTGCCGATGTGCTTTGACTCAGAGATTTCCTGTGTGAGGAACAAAAAAAAAAAAAGTTGGGAACTTCCTTGTCAAAACTTGGAACGCACCACAGAGTAACTACAAAGCACTTTATTTGACAGTTTGCCGAGTAC